GTTTTGGTAGACAAATTCCAACCTGGTTGTATGTTATATTTTAATAATAAATTGATAAATAAAATAAATATGGCATAGCGACATTGTGCGAGTAAGTTTATAAAACGCACTGGTTAATAATAATATCGGCGTGAGTGTAGTAAGGTTAACAGAATAAAGTGCACAACAATGAGCAAAACCGGGTGGTTTTGGCCATTTTAAAATTATGAACCGGTTTTTGACCATTTTAAAATTATGAACCGGTTTTGGCCATTAAGTGTAAGAATCGTTTACACATTAGTTGTCAACGTTATTGATTTCGACATAAAACGTTTAATACCGTTCACGATAAAGTAAAATATTTGCCTATACGTTAGGTAGAACCTCTTGAAGTGGGAAAGGGTCAAAAAATGGGCAGTGGCTAAAACCGCATCTTCTGCCCAATTCCAAAGACGAATTACGCATCGTTGAGGAATTGAGTCATTTGGTGACAGATCCTCCATAGAGGCCGTTATCAGTTCATTTCTTTATTGAAACAAGACAGAAACCAAAAAAAAAACGCTACCTCCTTCGAGCGTTAAATTGGTAAACTTACACCACACATAAGGATGGCTATTTTTGTGATTGGGACAATAAGAATCCTTTAATTTGGCACGTTACCGGTTTTATTTTTGTGTGAAAATTTATAAATGTTTAGGTAACAAATAACTAGACAAAACGAATTAAGACATTTTTGGTGAAGAAAGTTGATTTTTCATTCTTAGTACATACCTACATGCAATATGATTTTGATGCCCCGAAATTGCCGTCCGGGGCAAATTGATTCAACTAATGTAAAGCTAATAATATTATCTAATAAGAAAAATAAATTCCGACATAAACCTGCCTATAATGATTATATTACATTCACTGACATTGGTCACCGAAAGAAACTGACCATTTTCACAATGGTCGGTTACATATCATATTATTTTTGACAAAGTACATAAAATGGCACTTACTTTCGTCTTCGGCGACATTTTACCATCTTGTGTCTGGAAAATAAAATTGTTATGTTAATCTAGACTAAGAATTATTAATACCTATACCAATTTATCCTCAAAATTCGTTAAAAACATTGCGAGCTTTGTCATCTGTCATCCCATACTAACTATTTACTTGTATTTCTTTCCACTAATTGAATTTAAAAGTGTTTATTACATAACACAAAAACTAAAATAAATTATTTTCTTAATTTTAAGTCAATCAGGTACTTTAGTCGTGCTGTATTCAGTTGCAATCAAATTAATATTAAAATAAAAACTCATACTAATCATCTATTTTAAAATTTGGCATCAAAGTTTTTGTTCTCAGAATAATACTCATTTCGATGTAAAACCATATTTAATTTATTACTAACGACACAGTAATTAATTGAATATCTTTAGTATTATTTAATGAAACTGTTAAAGGCGCTTTAATTTCTAGTTTACAGTAAAATTGCAACTCAAAATGAGCTAAACGAATTCTGATAATCAATATAAAACACATTTTTTAAAGTAAAATATAATTATCTCATTGAATTTGAATTATTGAAAATAATTTTACAACCCTCTGTCCACCCAAATCACAGTATCGCAGTAGTTTTATAATATAAATCGTTAGATAGTTGTTGATTTTAAAGTTTCATTTCAAAGCATCAAAACTCTCAAGGTTTTGCGGACGCTAGGCGTCGCTGAAGTCGTGAAACCTTAAAATGAGAGTCAAAATACCACGTCATTTAATTAGATGATAAATCATAGCGTTTTAGTGGTTAAATATTGTGGTGATATGTTAGTATGGAATTCGGTACAACGCCCTTAGCAGTATCTATCAAGAATTACAAATCTCTAAACGAGCTCACTAGAGAACGCGTTACCGTAAAACTTCCATTTACCACTTAGAACAAGCAGGTAAGTACACAACATCTAATTTACATAAATACACAATATCTAATTTCATACAAAATCTACTTTATATCAAGATATTCACTTACTCTCGTGAAACTAAAATTTATTGTGTACCACACCGACATATAAGGTATTATGAGCCAATTTTCATGTTGTGTAATAAAATAATTTAATAAATATTATCAAAATCGATTAAAAACGTTAAAGTTACATGTGGGAAAATAGCTTCAAATATGACAGATGTAAAACAAATAACTTCCTAATTCAAATTTTCTCTTCTAAACTGTCTTCTGATTTTGAAAAAAAAGTATATAATGCATTTCTAGACGGACAAATTCTCTATGTAAAAAAAAATATGCTTAATAGTTACAAAGAGGAAAGAGTTTATTTGCTTTGAAAAGCTTCTGAAACGACTGGACCGATTTTACAAAACTATTTCACCAATGGGAAACTAAATCATACGCGGGTGACAGTATATAATTTACGTGAGCGATGTCGCGGGAAAACAGCTATATCTATTAGTACTTGATAAAGCCATCGATATGTTATTTATGAAACCAATGAATTATTAGGGTATGTACAGATGCAGTACTGCAAGAAGGGACTAATGCAAAACTAGACCAAAATTCGTTATTGGATGCAAATTACACCCTAATCAAATTCAGCTAGTCATTACAAAATAAGTCCTATGTTTGAGCTATATTTTATGATTTGAATAAATAAGCATAGTAATGGCGAATTGCCAATTCCTTCAGATATTTTTCGTTACTTTTGTTTTTCAACATCTTAAGTTTAAAAATAATATCTTTGAAATAAAGTTTAGGAACCCAAAGGTTGGAGGTTGGAGTCCCTATTGTGGTGAAGGAGACAACTGGCTAGGGAGACTAAAGGATAATTGTCTCCCTCCGAGCTTGGTGTTATTAGCCCGGGGACCGCGGTCCAACCGATGTAGGTTGGACGTTCTATTTATGTTAATTGGTAATGAAACTTATTCTGTGCGATGTAGGTTTCTTTGTTCTAAATGTCTTGTAGTTATTAATTTATGCTGCTTGTATTGGTACAGCGCCATCTCGTTACTTGCTGTTGAAACTTATTGCAGTTCGTCTTGCTATCGATGGCTGTGACGATGCTAGTCTTCTCGCTATCGATTGTTGTGGCGATGTTACTGCGACGAATTAGATGTCGCTATGTATCAGTCGCCACAGTACTTTCCCCCTAGACCGAAGGTCGATCCATGTTGATAGTAGGTGGTATGCAGTCAGTGCTTCAGAGCTTGCAAGTGCCATGGTTATGACGTCGGGACCGAAGCTGCTGGTGTGCAGGGCTGCCACGCCGGTGAGTTGTGTGTGAACTGAGGTCCGGTCGTGGGCTGCGAGGACCAGGTCGGGATGATGCCGTCATGTGGTGCCAAGAATCCAGGAAGCGCCGTTGATGCTGCTGTGATGGACCTTGGTGTTGGCTGGCTTGCTGCTGAAGTGGCTGTGCTGATGAGGGATGAGAAGCTGATGATGAAGGGCGAGAGGCTGTTGATGAAGAGTGATGGCTGCGATGTGATCAGAAGGTTGCGTGTTCAAATCACGTCGGTTGAAGATCACGTCGGTTGAAGATCACGTCGGTTGAAGATCACGTCGGGGTCACCACTTTAGGAACCGTTAGTTGGAGGTTGGGGCCCCTAGTGTGGTGATGGAGACAACTGGCTAGGGAGACTAAAGGATAATTGTCTCCCTCCGAGCTTGGTGTTATTAGCCCGGGGACCGCGGTCCAACCGATGTAGGTTGGACGTTCTATTTATGTTAATTGGTAATGAAACTTATTCTGTGCGATGTAGGTTTCTTTGTTCTAAATGTCTTGTAGTTATTAATTTATGCTGCTTGTATTGGTACAGCGCCATCTCGTTACTTGCTGTTGAAACTTATTGCAGTTCGTCTTGCTATCGATGGCTGTGACGATGCTAGTCTTCTCGCTATCGATTGTTGTGGCGATGTTACTGCGACGAATTAGATGTCGCTATGTATCAGTCGCCACAAAAGCATTAAAAAAATAATTTTACCATAAATTTCAGTTAAGAGGTATAGGCCTCAGAATAATAGTCTAATGTTAGACTCTAAGGTATAGGTACTGCGCCGTCGATAGGTGATTTTGTGGTCTATAAAAAGTAAAACATCTTATGGTTTTCTATATTTTTATTGAAATACATAGTATATTTTTCTTTTTGCCATGTTTATTTTAACTCAGTTACTTACACTTTCATAAGTTGTATATACAATAATAAACAAAATATTTACATACTAGTATCATATTCGGCTCGAAGGACCATATTTATTCCTTTCCAATTTTCAAGTATTTATTGTAATCAATTTAATTGATATTTATTTTATATCAGTTTTAACCAGATCTATAACAAGAAATGGTTATAGGTAGTGCTTATAAGCCTAAACTACGAACAACAGAGACAAGAAACGGAGACATTCTTAGAACTATTCATTTATTTCAGTGCAATAAAGATTAAATTATGTTTGTAAATATTTTTAAACTTTAACAGTGTTATTAATAAACAAGTTTTAGCATTGGAGTAACTTTACGCTGAGACTGCACTCAGTATTAGTGAAAATTCATAATATTAAACAGAGACTTAGCAAAGGTTAACCTTGTACGAGGTTCTACGGGAGTAGTAATTACTCCTAGAAAGTACTAAGGTTTGCTTATTCTCTGTATAATAAAAATTCGAACTAATACTAAAATTATAATTTTAGCGACATTTAGCGATTCTAAGTCTAGTTTGTCAATAGCACTGTAAGTGTGTTACTGAACAATGTGACCCGTCCAATATTTTTACATTGTGCACATTTTAAAATATACTTTAGAAATATATTTTAGTAAGATAAGCTAAAATGATAACAAATATATAAATAGTTTTAAAGACAATTGTCAGTTCTTTTTTTTTCATTTTCCTAGAAATATCAATAAATGTCGAGGTGGAATATTTTTCCAAATAGTATAATTTTTAATGTATTTAAGTGTTCTCCCGACCTCTGAAGCAGACGCCTTGGAAAAAAATTATAGACCATAGTTTTCTAGTCTTTGTTCTTTTTTGAAATTAAGGCTAATAAGCACTACCTACCCATCACTGTATCACAAATCAAAATAAAAACGGATCGCTACTCTTAAATAAATATATAATTTTCAGTCTACAATAGAAATCTTTCATTATTATTGTTTGAAATTTATCTTATAACCTTTGGTCTCAGGGTCTTGTTCTAGTTGAAAGTTCGCTGTTGACAAACCGAATGGTTTCAATATCATATTACCGAGATCCTTCAGTTTACCCATCATCTCTTGTTTAAGTTTTTCATTCTTCTCTTCTATGAGGGGCGGTAAACGGACTTCAGCGGCTCTGGCCTCTTTGTGTGACGGGTCCAGCTCGAGTATCTTCTTGTAGTCTGCTAAACTTTCGTCTAGTTTCTCAGTAGCTTCATAAGACTGTGCTCGTCTAAAAAAATATCACTTTTACCGAACATGAATCATCATCATCACCAGTCTGTTAATGCCCCCAGCTCAGGCTTTCCCTATGGATGGAATCTAATCTAATCTAATAGAAGGAGAATATGACCCATCACACTAGCCCAGTATCGATTGGTGTGTATTAACGACTGCAGATGCAGCCAGGACCAATGACTTAACGTATCTTCCAAAGCACGGAGGAGGTCGAGGTATCAAATTTTTGGTCACCCATCCTTCCGGCCATTGCGAAAGTTGCTTAATAACCGTATCAAAGAGCGAGCGCGCTAATCACTGATCCCATCGAGCAATCGAGTTCCTAAAAGCAGATAATATATACGACCTAAAATTTTAATATAATTGAAGCCCATTACTGGCGTATAATTTATTTATCATCATCAGCCATTTTATTGTCCCCACTATTGGAACACAGGCCTTCACTATTGATGATCTCAAATCAAAGAATCCATAACCCAATACACAGGCCCAGTGCGGGTTGTTGGGTGTTAACGACTGCAGGTGCACTTTTTAAATTTTCAGAGATGCAGAGGAAATTGAGATAAAAAATATTTGGTCCTATAACTGGTCCTAGCGAAAATTGCTTAACTTCCACATCCTAGACTTAACGCGCTTAATACCATTTCAGGTGTTAACTCAACAAAACACATTCAAGTTATTCAGTAAATATTGACCAATATATCAAAAAAAATCTCTCAACCTGATGTAGGCCTTCAAGTATTTGTCATCTAATTCTATTGCTTTTGTACAATCTTTGATGGCATGTTTGTATTTTTCCATTTTCATTTTGGCGGCACTCCTGTTGCAGTATAAAATCGCTCGTTGCTGGCTAAATTGAAGTGGGCAAATTTTTAACCCTGAAACATTATAATAATGGAGATATAATTGTGACTTGCAGCAATAATAAAAAAACTTTATATGATAATTTATATTGATTTATAACTGTAAATAAATGAAAATTAAGTAAAAAAATAAAAATTATGATGAAAATGAATAATAACTACGATCAGTTCAAACGCTTGATTTCTCTCTCTCTGCTCTTGTTGTAACTTTAAAGTACATGACTAGAAGAATGACATTTTAAATCAATATGGATTTGAGTGATTGATTATTATATAATTCAGTTTACCCATCAATTTGAGTGATTGATTATTATATAATTACTCAAATATATTAGCAACTAATCATGTCAAATAACAAAATAAAAGCCTAAAATATAAAATAAATCATAATCTTGTTTATTTTGCAATATACATTGATGTTATTGCATCTATGTTAACTTTTTGTAACAACAACCTCCCTATACCTGTATATTGTCGTCACATTGCTATGACAAATAACATGGCATTTGAGTATTTTTATATTAACTGCACTTTTGATAAGTGTTTTGCTGATGAAAATGAGATAATGATGAAAATTATTTACATATGCATTATTCTAAAACAATAATATTCATAATAAATTAAATTTAACCCATATTTTAAAACAAACGCATATTCCATAACACCTATTAGTATGTTCAGTCATAGCCAGTCATTAGACAAAACACTCAGACCCAAGACAATAAAGTTAATTTTCTATATAGACCCTGGAATTGAACCTGGAATGGGACCTAAGAAATTGACACCTTGAAACTGGCATGCGAACCGTTCAGCTACAAAGTTATACCAACCTTCAGTGTATTTTTCTGCACTCCTTTCATATTCACCAACTTTGAAAGCGTTATTGCCAGCCACTTTTAACTCTTCTGCAATGATTTTCCTCTCAGCTTTCTGGTCATCTGTCAGGTCCATTTCTGCATCTTTGAGCTGCGTTTCATCAATGCTATCTGCATCATCTTCTTCATTCATGTTATCATTTTTGTTGTTATGGTTTCTTTGATCTTCTTCATCTTCATCATCATCAAAGTCTCTTTCTATATCATGTGGCATTTCTAAAAGTATTTTATTGACTTAGGTTAAACCATGCGGCTTTTTGTACTTGAGATCTGAGGTACAATGTTAACATAGAAAATGGTCCCTAATTACTAAAAGGTGCTTCTCAATTATTGGCATTGTTCTTGTGGATTTTGCCAGAATCCAGAGATTTCAATCAGTTTATTTTATATTGAAAAAAAAAGATTTTAAGTTTTTAAATATATTGTACACTAACAACCACTTGTACAAATGTCCATTGAAATTGTCATTAGTTTAAAGCAACATTATCAACAAATTTGGCATTCATTAGAGCATAAAGGTGTCATTAAAACTTAATGGATGTTTGTACAACTAACCATAAGACTTAATGGTTAAGAAATATGAACCACTAGTAAAAAAACTAAATTTCTAAAATTTTGAACACAACTATCAAAAAGTTAGAGCTCAAAATCTGATTGGAGAAATTTGTCCTTTTGTAGTAACCTGACATAAGAGACCATGTTTCATATTGACGTAAATTAATGTCAATTACTTTTCATTTAATTTAGATTGCCCTTCTATTAGGACTGTAACATTTTACATCTAAAAAGTAGTGTATAAAGCCTTTCTTCTTTCCCAACAATATAATCGTTTTTGTTTTTCAGCTTTGCAATTGTAAAGCTGAATAGTTTGCTCAATATCTTGCTACCAAGGGACGGGGTTTTTTATTGTATTTTAACTGCATGTTTACAAGCACTTACCGTCTTTACAAGGTTTGCCTGCAGAAGATGCAGTGCCTTCATCATTATCACGTTCAATAACGAACTCATCAATTTTGTTATTGGTATTTTTTCCACTTTCTAAGGCGTTCTTAAACGATTTTGTTAGATCGTCTATAATTTCTTCGTTTGACTCGCTCTTTGTGTGGTTTAAGCGATCCGACATGATTTGTGGAAAAGATTTTCAGAACCTGACCAATGACTAACAAAACAGAAAGGTACAGAACAGGAAACTATTTCCTATAAAATATGATCGTTAATCCCAAATTCACTTGATTTCATCACATAAACACCTTTTTGGACAGTTTGACTTGACATTGACTTGCTCTGTATATTTGACATATAAACATAGTAGGCGTTCGATGTTAGTATCGAGTACCGTAGTAGGTATCGAGTTTTAAAAGCCATACTCCGAGACATGAGAACATGATTCTACAGTCACGGTAAGTACACTGCACGTACTCATCAAAAATTGCCGGCTCTCGCGTATTGCTAGATACGGCTTATTTACATTACAGTGTCCAACTAACTTCGGTGCCTAATAGTTCTAATAAATCTTTGGAAGTATTTTTATTATCGTGGCCTTCGATAACAGGTAGTTCTATTAGTTTCTTCAATCAGTCAGGGGTATATTATATAAGATCTAATCTGCCTTTAACAATATAACTAAAACTCTTTTGGAACGATTTAAACGTATGGTCGAGTGGTAGATTTTGTAGCTATGATAACTATTTTTTTTGTCTGTCCGCCAGGAAGATTATTGAAGAATATTAAACAAGTTTTGTTGCGGAATCAATAAATTGTGGCATTCTCATTCAGTTATAATGTTATGTGACGTCACGGTTTTTTACATTTTCTGCAAAATTGTAATGTACCGAGCTGACAGTTATTATCAAATTATTCTTATATTAATTATTATTTATATTCAAGGTAAATTATTATCAATATGCCGTAATATTAAATTATCACATAATTCAAAGAAATAATATGGCGCGTGGGTTACAACTAAAGCGATCCATGAATATAGCGTGTGAAAGTGAATGGATCACCACTTTTATATGAATTTCTCATTTTTTTTTTACAACTTTTGGTTGATTAAAAAATTCAAGGAAGCATTAGAACGTCTACACTTACATATATCTTACATAGATTTGAAATACAGGATTAAAAGCCTGTATCAACTCCAATAATAGTTGGAAATCTGGCTTATAGTTGGGTCGGAAGTGGACCAGACATTGCCTCTGCCGTGGGAACACAAGTTGATGTGTCATATTTCCGTTCCAAACTCAACTGGCTCTAACTTCGCCGGCGCAGAGACTTACACATTCTAAAACTTCCCTTTTGTCTATCTTATCTTAAACGGTGTTTCGCTTTCCCTTCTTCTTCATCACAGTGTGGTACCTTGCGATCCTCCTCTAATCTCGCCTTGGACATTCGTCGTCATTCTACCGACTTTTTCTCTTATTCCTTTTCTGTGCATGCTGCGCGGTTATGGAACTCACTTCCGGAGGATGTCAGGAAATCTTGCTCAATAAGTTCTTTTGGCGATAGAGTTAAAAGCCATTTCCTGTCCTTATCTTAGTTCTGTCTCCTTGTATATAGTTTTTCTTATGATACATCTTGTATCCTTACTATCGTTGCACTCAATACCGCATATAATCTTTATCCTTTTTATCTTTTGTCCTCCATAGGTTGCCTGGAAGAAATTGCTGCTTAGCAATAAGGCCGCCTTTTGTATACTATTTTATTTTTTATTCTCTGTAACTTGTTTCTGTCTGTTGTGTGCAATAAAGTATATTATTATTATTATTTTTCAGTGATTTCTACGCTTGAAGCTGATTAGTTTTATGTAATAACGGGCACTAGCCAAGTTATTACAGTAATCAATTTTTTAAATCTTTTTCATGTTCTTCGTATATACTGCATGAACTTTCTGACTATGCGGCACGTATTCTGAATGGCGGCTTACTGTCGTATGTTGATGGTATTCTCACTCAGATCTATCGATTTTAGGTGTCGTATAGTTTGATGTGGTATTACCCCAGTGGTCGATATGACTATAGGTACTATATGAACTTTATCTTGTTTCCAGATTCTTATAATTTCATCGTTTTAGGTCTGCGTATTTACTTAATTTTTCTGATATCGATTTTTGGATGTTATGGGTGTTAGGTACTGCGATGTCTATCAGGTAAGTAGTTTTATTTATTTTGTCTTGTAGTGTTATGTCTGGTCTATATTATTATTATTAATTATTGCTACATGCAATACACTGTGGACATAGGTATATTTTATAAAAAAAGGCATTATAGAGTGTTACAGTGGTACAGACCATGGGAGCGATATAAGTACTGGGAGATTGATCTCCCAACGACAGGAGTGTTATGTCTATATCACAGGTCTATATGCCGGTGGACCAGTCTCATGGTTAAGTCAAAGACAAACCAGTGTTGCCATCTCAACAAACAAAGGCTGAGATTGTAGCAGCCAGTGAAGTTGCGAGAGAGTGTGTCTAGCTAACCAGATTGTTTGACGGCTTAGTAGAACTGCAGCATATACCGGTACTAGAAGTTAACAACGAAGCTGCTTTGAGATTAGCCGAGAATCCGGAATTTCATCGCCAAACCAAACATATCTGTCTTAGACATTTCTTTGTCAGAGAGCTGGTTCTAGAAGCTCTCTGACAAAGAAAACTTGGTGGTCGACAAAGTGTCAGCAGAGTCGCAATTAGTCGACAAACTGACAAAACCTTTACCTTGACCAAGATTAGATAAGCTAATAAACTTATAGGTTTGCAAAAGGTTTCCAACAGGGGAAGATAATGGAGTAAATTCTTTTACTTTGAAAACCTTCTTGTTAAGTTTATAGCTTTTTATTTTGATAACGTAGTGTTTAAATTCTTTAAGTTCTGTTCTTCTTGATGTTCTCAATAAAATGGAATTTTATGTCTCGGTTGCTTTAAAAAGCTTTTTATTAGATTCGAATTTAAGTCTTTTAATGTGTGTGTAAATATGACAAGCAAATGATGTTGTAACTGAGCAGTTACTCTTGTCATTTCGCCATACCACACTGATAGACTCTACGCTTTAAGTTCAAAGATCGACATGTAATAAATAAAGTGCTACGAGATTTAGTGTACTGCTTGATTTAAAGCGTTTGTCGCACACCTTTTTTATTAAGTATTTAGCGTGTTAGTTAATTAACACATCAATTAACACTCAAATTTTTCTTAACATTTAGCGTTTAGTGTGTTAATATATTTTAGTCGTTTTGAACAACTCTATTAGATTCCAATCAATCAATAAATCAAAATATTCGATTGAGGTAAACACACGCACCACCTCTATAAATATACTCTCTGATAAATATAACCTAAAATATACAATGTAAATGAATAGTTCGAGCTAAATGAAACTGTTTGTTCCAATTTCTTCTGTGATCTTGTTACGTTAAGTCTCGTTCGTTTCGTTTGTACCTAACTTGTTTCAAAAATAATATGTGTTGATTTGAGTTTCAAGTTCACCTTCCCAATTAGATAATATAAAGAAATTACCTTAACCCCTTACTGCATGATTTATTAAGGAGATGAAATAAAAATTATTTATTTGCAAAAATGTGTTTATTTAAGCTTACATAATGAGATCCAATTGAGGCCAAAAACTATTAACTTATTTTATAGAACTTTTTAAACGACGCCATATATGGCTTCGTATGCACTCCAGCCTACAAATGTTCCTTCATATATGGCTTCGTATGCATTTAGGAGAAAACTAACTTAAACTTGGTGAAATTATTTATAACAATTGAGTTTGTCATTATAACATAAAAAAAAATCATTTTTCACATAATGTTTAAGAACGATATTTGGAACAATATTGGCATAACTGCCTTCTTCTTCCAAATCGGATAATGACCAATGGTATCAGATCGTACCGAATCCAAAGGCATATCTTGGTGTCTAGCTGGGGTCTGTCGTGCCCTTTTAGCGGGTACTGGAGAGTCTGGCATAGGAGTACCACCTCGGCTAGATGTCGGTGTTCCCAGAATGCTGGATGGACGACCACGTTTCTTGGTAAAACAGGTTTCTCTGCCTTTCGAATATGCTCAGAAACGGCGAGTTTAAAGTCATACAAGGCATGTAGCAGTCTTTGTTGATTCTGCGCCATAACAACCAAGCGTTTACGAGAGACATATCCACCATGTGAAAAAAAAAAACCTCTTATATCACTTACAAGACCGCAAATGGATTCTGTAGTTACCCAGCATAGAATCAAGCAAATCTATTCCTCCCATATGCTGGTTATAAACGAAAAGAAAAGTTTTGACCGGAATGCATACGGAGCCAAATTTGGCAACTTCAAATGAGTGGGCAAAAAAGGCAAAAGAAACAAAATCATGTGAAATCAAAACTTTTCCCTTATTTTGAAAAGTTAATAGCATGTAATACAATTTTTTTCAAAACAATTACTTGCTTTTTTGGTATTTATTTTTCACTTTCAAAATACCACTTTTTTCCTGCATCCGGCCCGTCGCACGTGCTACAAATCACCTTAAAAATATGTGATAGATGACATTTGCCAGACACATATTTTTAACGTTCCGTTTCTCGATGAAACTCTGGTTCTGGTATGAGTTACTTTTTTAAGATAAACTATATCATTGACTTGTAAAAAAATCATAAACTTTAGCGTCCATATATGGATTCATATGCGGTAAGGGGTTAATACCAACCTTTTTTTTACCAACGTCAAATTATTATCATTTGACTTCATCATTCGCTTCGTGTCTGTAATTTCGTAGGTTTGTTTCGTGATTTGAATACAAGAAAAATGTCTTTAAAAAGTATATTCAGAACAGTGAGCAACTCTCGTAGTTATTTACTAAGATATAAAAGTTTAGGTGCTAGTTTTAGCAATTATAGGAGTATTGTGCCGTTATCAACAAATATACCTAATTTAAAGGAAGAAAAGTAAGTAAAATATGCAAATTCACTTAATTAGATTAGAACAAGTTAACAATTACCTATGTATACTTAAAAGTCTTTGTATTTACCAATGTCTTAGCCTCCCCTATGTAATAGTTATTTGAATAAATGGAAACAGCTATTTAAAATTTAATCTTAATATCATTAAAAATATAAACACCTTAAATATTTAAAATACACACCTGATTATGAGTTACCATAGAATACTTTTTCCTGTTCAAAAATTTCCATGAAATTCTTTAAATATAAAAGTATTGCTTCATTTTGAATTGGTGATCAGTGAAAATCTTATATCTCAATATTATCTGAACTACTATTTAGTACACAAACAGGACATATAGGAATGTAAAAATGAATAAAATCAGTAAAAGTAGGCTAGCTCAGCAGTACAACTAACTCAGAAATTTGGCTTAATATGTTAAAATTTTTTAGTATGATATTAATAATTTCAAAGAGAAAGTACAAACTAACAAACTAAAAACTTTCTCTTGGCTATCAATTTCGTTTTATTTAATAAGTACTGCTTAGGAATGCTAAGTGGGACATAATTTTGCTTTGTATGTGGATTATAACACACCTGTTGCACATTTCAGATTTTAATTAAAAAGATAATCTACATATTAGTCTTAGTTGAACATAGAACTTGTAAAGGGTCTGAAATTACAATAAAACTTAATACAAATGTGTTGAAACTGTTTAAAAGTTATTTCATTTATGGATAGCGCATGTGAAAATATAAGAAGTAATCTATTTTTCTTTATTTCCTAGAGTAAAACTCACGTTTGTACTTTATGATGGAAAACGAATTGAAACTGAAGCAAAAGTCGGTGACACATTACTTGATGTGGTTGTCAACAACAACCTAAATATAGAAGGTTACGGAGCCTGTGAAGGAACCCTTACTTGTTCAACATGCCATGTGATATTAAAACAGGAGGATTTTGATAGGTAAGAACATATTTCTGGAAAAATTTAAATTTTTGAAAATTCTTCCCATTCATACCACTCTGGACTAAAAAGCCTTGTGCTCATTTGGTTTAAATTTACTACAATAATACTTCAGTATAAAGAGAATAAAAGTACATAAAATTATTGAATATATACATTAGTTTAGACAATTGTTAACATAAACTTACAATAAGCCAACTAAACTCAACACTCCAGTAGTCAGTAGTAGTCAGATTATATTCAAATCTAGAGATAGATGTAGTATTTAAGTAAGTTAGCTTAATTTATACATTACCCTCCAAAAGTTTTTAACCAAAAAATGCATATTTGGTTTTCACAAAAAGATTGCCTTGCATAAAGTCAAAATTGATATTAAATGTTATTTTTATGGCCTTTTACTGTTGTATACATAAATGCCAAAAGATTTTCTTGAAAAAAAAAATCTTAATTTTGAGAATGCACATGTTTTATAACTTTTTGGCTGCATTCTTTTGACACAATTGAAGCAAACTAGTTTTTGAGTTTATCTTGATAGATTTGGAAAATTTATTTCTTATGTTGTTGCTTTGTATTGTGTCCTGTGCATGGGCATATGGAGCATTTACTTATTATAAATGTAAAATGCATTTAATGTCACTCTTATTTATCTTAATATGGCTAAATATGGCTGATGATGTAAACAGATTATTTTAATGTCACCTCAAGATTTTTTCCACTAACCCTAGATACTAACTAGGAATGGGTGGAATTACTAGGAATGAGCCACTAGTAAGTTATTCAATTTTTGCTTTCCCTACTCGACATCTATAATTCGTTACGCTAGTTTAGTTCAAAATCATGTTAATTAGATTTATTCTGTTAATAAAATTGCAACTTTATGATTTGTGCTCTATCGTCCTCATTACATCGGTTTTTCCGTTATTAGTATGGTTTTGAACTAGGGGATGGTTGGACCGCCACTGCATAAGGCGCTGCATAACGCATGTCATAACTTTAGACATCGTTTTATGTCGTTCTTAGTTATTGGTGATTTTCAACTTAAGCAACAGATTTCGGCGACACCTAACTTAGTGAAAACGGGCATTAAAGTATCATATCTGTGGTGTTCTATTTAATATAATTCATGTCCACGTTTGTGGCACTGTTTAATATAATTCATGTAATTCATGTTTCAAAACAATTTTTTTCGTTTTTAATTCTAAGAATTTATAAAACAAAGTCAACTCCTGGAATATTATTGTGGAATCACCATTTCTAAACTACAGTAAATTATTATCGTCTAACTGTAACAACGGTAGTCATCTGTCGTGAATAGGGTTGCCACTACATTCTATTTGTAGGGATTATCTATTTTATTATGTATAATTCATAATTTCAATAATACTCCGTCCATTGTAAAAATTACGTTAGGTTTTGGTTTTGATTTAGAAAAAATCCCCATGATCTGTTTATTTGAACTCGATAAACTCAAAAATGACCAGTGATTTTTTTTATCTGGTATTTCATCTATACATAGCATAATACAAAGTCGCATCTCGCTGTTTGTACGCTGAGATGTTTTCAACTACACAACTGATTTTAATACGTTTCTTAGCAATGTACATAGTGATTTAAGAAAAAGGTTTGTGTATAATATGGGACCATGCGGGCAAAGCCGCTGAAAACAGTCAGCGGCAAACATAAAAGGTTTTGGGGAAACTAACTTACGCAACAAATGGAGCAAACAAGTAACTTTATTAGGTACCATATAGGACACTAGAAGAAAGGGGCGTCCAAAAATAAGATGGAATGACGATATCCGCCTAATCTTGGGACCTTATTGGACCAGACTAGCAGAAGATAGAGTTCAGTGGAGAGAGCTGGTGGAGGCCTATGCCAGGAGGCACACCGAATTGCGAGATATACTATAACTAAACAAACCCTGAAAATTTGTATCTTCAAAGTTGTAGCAAGTTCGGAAGAAAGGGCTTTATTATATTATTATTATAACTTACGCATGAATTGATTGATATATGTTTGATGTAAGCAAAATCGAGTAAATGTACTTTATCCTCTTCAGGTAGCGGATGATACATTATAAAGCGGTTAGCAACCCTCAATATGAATAAAGTATTAAGAAGCAGTCGTATTTTCTTGGGTTGTTGTTATTTTCATTATTCAGTGAACGGCCGTATTACTAAAATTATCATATACATTTAAAAGTCAGGCTCGATCTTATCACCTCCTGTCCCACAGTTCCGTTTAGAGATCCATAAGATATTTTTATACATTTTAGAATGAAAAAAAATCATTGAATCAGAATCACTTATTTTTCGACCACTGCTTTAAAACCCGATGTCTTCTATCGATAAGAATTTCCTGAGACCTGATGATAGCTCTGCCAAATACAGAACTTGAATCAACCAGCTACTGCAGAACATGCAATCTCAAATGTCTTAATAGCGCGCACACGCTCTTCTTTTTCGATAAAAAATATTTAATTGTGTAATTGGAATAAAATAAAAATGTTTTAAATAATGCGTGTTGTTTTGTAGTTAATGAAAAAAAAACCACCAAGTGCGAATCGGACTCGCACACAAAGGGTTCTGTATCATTATTCATAGTAAACATATGAGAGCCTCCTCAAATATTAATTTATTCTATTTTTTAGTATTTGTTGTTATAGCGGCAACAGAAATACAGCATCTGTGAAAATTTAAACTATCTAACTAGGGGTCATCCATAAATTACGTCACACTTTAGGAGGCGGGCGGTCGACGTACTGTGACATTAGAACAATAATTAGTAGAATTTGTATAGATAAATAGGTGACAGGAGAGGGGGGGGGGGGTGGGGGGTAAAAATCTTTTGTGTGACGTAATTTATGGATTCCCCTATTATGGTTCATCAGATACAGCCTGGTAACAGACGGATGGACAGCGGAATCTTAGTAAAAGGATTGCGTTTTACCCTTTAGGTACGGAAACCAAAAAAGGGGGGTTTAAACCCAAAAAAAAAGGGTTGGGAAACACTGATATAAATAGAAAAAATTGATAAAGGACGATGGTACTATCAATACTCTTCATTTCCTATATAAAGGCAGTACGAAATTTGTCAACTAATTATAATATTTTTCCAGATTACCAGAAGAGGCGAGTGACGAAGAACGAGACATGCTTGACCTCGCTTACGGTCTCACTGACACATCGAGACTCGGCTGCCAGATCACAATGACGAAGGACCTGGACGGACTCGAAGTGCAGGTCCCCGAGACAATCAACGACGCTAGGAGTTGATGCTGTGACGTAATAAATAACTTATGACCACTTGTTGATGAGGACTATTGGACTTTAATATCGCTAGAGGCGCTTTAGTATGTTTAAAATGTTTATCTGCCGCACTCTGAGACATAATTTAACTGATGATTGCATATGAAACATTAGACAGTACTTAAGACGATACGAATAGTTTATTTTTGGTTGAAAAAAAAACATCTCTGATAATATTTAAGGTTATATGTCGCCTCTGAGTGCAACAGTCAGTGAATTATGTTGGGATCAAGAGCTTACTCGCCAGTGGCGCCGCCTGGTGTACAGAAAAAACATAGTCCTCATTGCAATAGCGCAAATTCCTCAACAACCATTTATATCATAGTTAATTGACCTTTAAAAATAGAATACCATGGAAGATTAATATCTGCCATATACAGGATGTGAACCTGGAAAATTTCCAACTATTATGACTGATTATTGAATTACTGTTACATTACAAAGTTTTATTTCAACTATATATTTATATAACATATCTTCACTTCGATTCTTTGCGGGTAGATAGAAAATATGGAATGCTAAAAAGCACGGCTCTTACATTTTACTAGCTGTTACCCACGGCTTCGCTGGCGTGAACAGTAATATAATTAAGTTTATAATGTTGCAGAATTTTTAATGCCAATTTAATGACTCCTTAGTGACTGGCTTTTAAGGTGCTAAACTGAATATTTTGATTAAACTAAACCCGTATAAAAGTAACTCGATTGATTATTACATTCCTGAACACATAAATCTCTTTTAGAATAACTGAATTATTATGTTGTTCTAAATCTATAATGTTATAAAAGTCGCCGCCTGCCTGTAATTTTTTCACAAACTAAACAGTTTCATTTCAACAGGCTTAAACGTCAATTATACTCTCGGACAAAGTCAGGGGTAAAAGCTAGTATATACAAAATATATATATAAAGCTCGAGGTACTAATTTATGACAGTGTTTTTTAACTTCTGTAATTGACCAAAGCACTAACCACTAAGCCTTCTGTAATAATGAATATAGACAAGTCAAAACAGTCTTTTGCATATAAAACGTGTCATAAACATATTATATCCTTAACACCCTGGGTGGCAGCATTTAATGCGTTTTGTTAAACATTGTTCGTTAGTTAGAATTACTGTTACGATTAGATCAAACATTTGCAGCGTTGCGTTTGAAAGCGAGCTCTAACTTTCCATGGATGAAGTCTTAATCTTAGTCGAGTACACTAAGGTTACAAGAAAAGTGCCCTTATGACGAAACCCGCGTTAGAATTATTGTACATGTACGTGTAAGTTAAAAGTTATGCCACAAAGTGAGCATTGTCAACAATTTTAGGCTATATTCTGTACGCTCTCAAGTTAAAATAAAACTGATAATAAATAAGACATTTCAATAATTTATTGGAATATAAAAATTTGAACTCCCGATTAGGCAATGTTAGAAATACACCAATATTTTTGGCGTCAGTACGTGAGCGACAATGACAAAAATTATTCCCATTCCAATAATTTTGTTTTGAAGCTAATAATAATTTATTTTTTTTTTTTAATATTTCGACTTTATAATTGTCGACTTGAGAATCTATTTCTACTAATAGATCAACAATCTACCGCATGCATATTTGAGCGTTGCTACAGTGATATTTAGCCGTGTTGTTGGGTGTGTTTATATATGTAGGTATATTTGCAAAAAAATATTAGGATATATTTAAAAAAATGTTAAATTATAATAAATTCTCTTCCAAATTGAATAAAAATGTTATTTATTAAATATTTATCTTACTATTAAAGTTAATTGTTATTATTTATACAAATAGTTTGTTACTAAATTATCGCTTACCATAACTTTATTTTATTTATATTATTTGGGTATAATTGTAAAAATGTCTGACAAATAGTATTGTGGTGTTATTTTAACTGACATTTGATAAGATTAAATTGCAGATTGCAAGAACAAATATAATATTTCAATAATTTACTGAAGTTCAGCTCTGTAGGTCAATTAATAGCAACAATGTATTTAATTTTAATTAAATAAGAGAACCATTGTAATTAATTAATTTTTTAACTATACAATGATTTACAATTAGTTAACGCACATATTCAATTGGCCAAAATATTAAATTATTACTATCAATAAATAAATAACCATTAGATTTATAAATAAAGTACATAAAGACGTTATCATGTAGTGCATTTTTTCATTGTTTTTTTTATATTGATGTTTGTTTACACAATTATTTTATGAAATATAAAATTTGACCTAAATATAGTTTTGTTTTATTTATATTTATAAGTTTTTATTTGCAGTGTAAGTAAATGTATGTATGATTGCTAAATCTTACAACGGAGTTTAGATAACAATCAATGGCGTTACTTCGGTGTCGACAAAATGCCACGGGCCCCCAGCTAGAGGGGGCCCCCAGTCAGAGGAGAATCCTTATTTCTGACATTTATTATTACACAATTAGTAAAAAGAAATGCAATATCCGATTAATTTGCCATGGGCCTCAAACGGTATAGTTACGCCACTGATGATTTTAAATGGCACACAGGCCGAAATAGCGGTCCAGTTATTTTTATTCTCGATTTGTGTATATAGCATCAAAATGAGACAGTCCAGATATTACTGAACATAAAAAATAATTAAACGAGGTATTGTTTCGAAGTACATTATTTTTTTAAAAATAAGTTGTTTCCGATTTTTAATACAATTTTTAGCATGGCAACGTAAATAGCAATTTCAAATGTGCACAATAATGTTTATCGAATTAATTGTCATAAAAGTGTGTTATAGTGTTTTAAAATAGCTCATAAAATTCTGTAATGAGTTTTTCATATCATTATACTTTTAAAGTGTTTCGTGCTGCTAAAACGATGTCATTACAACTGCTATTATTAGAATTTTGTAAGTAATACCTACATTTGTAACTAAGTCTTGCTTCTTCATCCTGGTGTGTATTGAGATGCAGAACACTCGCCATTTATAGCAAAAGTATTAGCTTCACTTCCTCCTACGATGAAGTTCTCGATGTATTGAGAATTATTTTTTGCAGTATTTATATCCCCCAGGTCAGGTGCGCCATCGTATTCTGTATAAAAATTCGTGTCGTAGATAATTTAAGAGCTACTTTATTCTTGGAATAAGGTTGAAACTTGAAACGCGGACTGGTTGTGGGACATTTAAGGATTATAATACGTAACGTAATTTGAAGGTCGTCGGGTGGAGTATCGCGTTACGTATCAAAAATAAGGGAAATAAAATCTAAATCGCTTATATTTATCACTGCTAGAAACATTTTTATAATTGCGTCATGTAAAACTTAAATTCTCGAGTGAGCAACACGTGATTGCTTTCGTTATGCCACCGGCTTTTAGTTACTTACCTGCAACATATTATTTCAGTACTCATTGCATTATCCCAACAAGGCTTATTACCATCGCCATCAAAGTACAAGTGGCAAGCAGTTCCGTATGTGTTTCAAAAAGGTGCACCGATGCGGGTAAGTGGGATAGAGCATCGTGTAGCACCATTCGAAAACATACAACGTAGGAAAATCGGTAAGTTTGGACACCAAGAGAAGCCTTTGGGACATACACCAGATAGACTCGACTCAGAATTCGATATAAACGGTATGCGATTTTTGTCCGAGCCTATTAATACAGAAGATAGAGACTTAAATGCGCTCATGAATAAAGTAGTCGAATACAAAATGAATGAAAAAAATAACCACTATCTCAGACATCATCCGCAAAACGTATTTACTAGAGAGGAAATTAAGAGACTACAGACTATAGTCGATGGTATAGAAAAGGATACGGACGTACACGAATCTCTAGTTATGAAGAAGAGGACGAAACGGATCTCTCCCTCCTATATGGACTTCGCCGATTTAATAATTTGAAGGTTCATTTTTATAACACTGGTTCGTCAAAAAATTCCGCAATCACTAATCGTTTCCTTTTTCATAAGTTATATAAAAATAAAAAATGTCTTATATAGTGCTGTAATAGTTTCATAATTACAGTACCTTAACATAAGGGGTACTTTAACATTAACATAACCTTAGTATTATTGTCAAGTAAAAAAACATGTTGTAATAGATTTTTTTTTTTATTTCTAATGATATAAAATATTTAATATCAGCCCTCTTATTTTAGCTAATCATCAATCGTAACCCCGTACATATAAAAAAAAACATATACACAAAATGTCCTGTACAAAACTCAAAGAAATAACAAATTGTCAATTTCATATACAGTGTTACTATAACATTACAATAAATTAATCACGTAATTCACAATTCACAAATCAAAGAAAGTCGAATAAATATAGAAAATTATATATAAAAAAAATGTTTTAATACCTATCTTAAATTTTATGTGGGTAGGTATGAAATTGCCTAACTAATTTTTGAATAAATACACTCGTTTGGGATTTGTTCACACTTGTGCCATAAGACTTACATTTATGCATCATAAGAGTTAACGGTCAACGTTCATTACAAGCCACTATCCACCCATAGCCATATGTAAAACTGATAGAACAGACAGACAACCTCAAATTTAAAATAAATAGTTTCCAAATATAAGAAATATAAAATTGTTGAATTTGTTAAAAACCTTAAAGCACGTACATTAGCTTGTGAAACGTAAAAAACCTTGTTAGTGAGAATAATTATTTGAGATTTTATTAAACGGAAGATCCAATTTAATGGGAGAAAATATTGAAAATAGGTGAACAGGCTTTAACTACACTTAAACTGTTCTCTTATTATAACTCAAGATTTATGCCTCGAACAAAAAAGGTCCAATTATATATTACTACTGCAAATGAACGTTGATCGTAAACTAACCAAACTGAATGACGTGAGTAATTGCGTACAGCTCGTACATTTTTAAAATGTCACAATCATAATTATAATAAGTAGCAGTCATTTGAATCCAGTATTACATTGTCATCTTAAGAGTTTGGGACAGAAGCAGCAAATTCTACAATAGAGAAGTTAATGCAAGGTTCGCTAACGGCAAAAAGCTTTTTTTTCTTTTGTAATAACGCAGGGGAAATGCATCTTAAGCCTTAAACTAAGGCTCTCCAATCACCCCGCCATGAAAAGGGTAGGTTGGATGTGGTTAGCCTATAAGGGCCTGCAGTCTCGACATTGGTAGAGATCGCAGAGTTCAATGACCGCGCTGTCAAAGTTGATTGCTAGGAAACTAACGAGTGATCCGGTAAGATTGCGATCGCAGTCTGTCGACACTGCAGCCCTTAGTAAAACCCGCTGCGGTTCACCTCATGTATACAAAATGAACCCGGTATCCTTCAAGGACCCGGTCATACGGCTATAATCTGGGCATTTGGGTGACCAATGGTTTTTCCTATAACTCCTGCCGCCCGTGATTGAAAGCATGTTTATAAGCAGTAGCATGTACTTTTCTACTTATCATCAGTAATAAATATGCCGAGTCATCTAACTTTAGTAAATTATTCATATTATAAAACAAAGTCGCTTCCCGCTGTCTGTACGATTTTAATTGGGTTTTAACAAATATGAAATGATTCAGGAAGGTTTATTATACGTATAATATAGGACTGGTAAATAAATATGTCAAAAATCTACATACATAAATATTCGACATTAAATATATCTACATAAACGCAATATAACATAATTCCATTCGTAAGGAAGACTATAGGCCTTCCTAATAAGACGATGAAGACATATGATTTCGCTGAAATCTGAGTCAATGACAGTCAACAGCATGTCAGGTTATACAAATCTGTCAAGTTTCTTCTTTTGATTTTAAATCTTAATACATCGAGGGTAGAGTGAAAATTCAATGGCTAAAATTTGATATACTGCGATAACCTGACGTGCTGCTATGTGTACAATATGTGTACAACACCCTTGTGAAGATTTCAGATCAAAAAATCCAAAGACACATAGTCAAACACACACTTGATTGTTGTCGAAATAATTTTAGAACCGATTAGATATTTATGGATTTAGATGTAATATATAAAATAATTACTTTTTAATAAAACGATGTCTAAAGAAGACAGAGCAAAACTAATAAATCATTCGCATATGGAATATCCATTTACAATAATTCTTATAATTCCTATTCTTACTTAGCAGGTATTCGAATAAATACTAAAGCTGATTTCACTCGGCATATCATTACCTCACAATAAGTAGGATTTAGACATTAATTGATTGTAGAATACTCCAAATTCGACTGGATTTTGCCACTGACCCACCTATATTAAATTACATACAAACAAAACACATCTTGAATTCGTCTCCTGGTTAAAAACATACTAGGTAATTTAATATAACACCCTTTACCGCATTAAATTTTATTACTAAATAAATATATAAATAAAACAATAAATAAATATTATGCATGTCTTTAAGACGCGACGCGAATGTGACTTGTGCTGAAATTTGTTTTTCAATACCTACTTATTGAATGTTGTTAGAGTTTAACATATTTTACGTAATATCCTTAGCCTAAGGCTTAGACCACACTGCGAAACGTAAGTCTGATATTTGCGATTTAAACACATAAGTATTGGAAACAGGGTCTATTTAGATACCGGGGCTAGTATGCACACAACAAATAAAAATTAAAATAAGAGTATATAAATGTAAATCACTAATAACTAATTAAAACAAATCAATGTTACAACAAGATGGTAAACGTTACATATATTTATAAGTAATAAACGCGTCAAACGCTACGGAACAAAAACAACAATACGCCGAACGACTCTGGGGAAAAAAAGTACATTTAAAATTAAAAATTTAACAATATTTGTGCTAAGGAACTATTGATAAATAGCTACGGGCAACAAAAAATTATATTTAAAAGACTCTCATTTCGTTTACCAATTTAGTCTTGGACTAAAGTTAACAAAAAAGATATTTGTGACAACACAAAACGCGTTTTCAGTTATATACGAGCCAAATTTTAGAGAATACATTGCTCTTTCTTTTTGCTAAAACATTTTTGGAATAAACAACATAACAAATAACCACGTGTTTCCTCTAGTCGATAAGTACAATCAACGCCAAATACTTTGATGAAATGTCAAAAGTTATATTTATATTTTTAAATATTGACAGTATATATAAACTTACACAGGAAGTTTATAACCAGTGCACCAAATTTTCGTACTGAATTCGTTATTTTAATATTCAGTTTTTTAGCGTATCGTATGCAAAATGTTAAACGTGACCCTATTATTAAGATTCCGCTGACCAGGCTGTCACCAGGTTGTATATCATGAACTGTGATATTTAAAACTGTTGAAATTTTCACAGCAATTTCGCCGCTAAAACAACAAATACTAAAAAAAACAGAATAAAATAAATATTTAAGAGATAAGCAATACAAAACGCAAACGAAACGTTCGTTGTATGAGAGCCCCACACAACAAACGTTTAGTTTGAGTTTTTCAAAGATGGTATGGAAACCTTCGAGCGCGATTGCGACTCACACTTGGCTGATTTTTCGTTTCTTTATCCTACTAATCTCGGAGATGAAAGAAAGCATGTCTATTTAACACTTTGCTACAGTATTTTACAACTTTAGTGACTCAATGTACACGCAGAAGGCAAAATTTCATATCGAAGTAAATGTCGACCAATCGGAATGATTGAAATATCACGACACGAAGCGCCAATATCTCTGTGCTCGACACCTCGAATATGAGTGTAATTTACACCTTATGATTGTTGAAACAAGATTCATTACAAATTCGTACACTCGTCATCGTCGGTATTGGTAGATATTAGTATTCCTTTCAATGACTAACTTTCATACAAATTTTCATCCCCTTTAATGTCGTAACAGACAGTTACTAAAATATGATATCTTAATATAAAAATATCGTTCGCCATACTTCCAATGAACTATAGGTCATCTTAATACAAAATATCGCTCGCCATACTTCCAATGGTCCAACACACACGGCTAAGATAATATAATATCTTCATACTATGTATCGAGGCCAAGCAATAAGGAATTAATTATATATTTCGTAAATTGTCTAAAGATAAACAAAGATGATACGAAATATTATATTATCGTATTTTAACCGTGTATGATAGCGTAAGATGTTAAAATATGTTATTTTAAGATATCTTAAGATGAAGTATTGTATCATCTTAACCATCTGTTGTGAGTATTATTTGCAATAAAATGTAACCTGTCTATAGAAGGACTCTATCACTGTCTGTCTGGACACAGATTAATGACCTTGGAGTAATTTCTATGAACAATGATCAGTTCAAAAAATATGCACTGATTATAAATGTACCCTGTATAAGCTTGATCGTTACTTAAAATCTGACGCTATCTGTACTATAATCATTCATTATGCCTTCAAAATCACTCTACACAATTTCAATACTAATATTTGAGAGACATTGCACAAAAGATGACACCATTTAAATAAAAAACAAAAATGCTAAAAATAATTACAAATTTAGGAATGATTCTACTTTAAAACAATTAAATTATAAAATTCAATATTATGCGTTCTCAATGGAAATATGTCCTCAGTACTAAGCCCTAAAGGATTTCTTTTATAAAAATATAAAAGTACACTAAAAATAGCACACCGCATTATCCAAAGCTGTTAATTTTCACCAAAATTAAATTCAAGTTTATAAACTAAATTGTTAATGTTATGGTAACATCATTGTGCTGCTGTGAGTACCAATCATTGTGATGATTCTTAAAATTGCGTTTATAAATCGTGTTAAAAGTATTGGTAATTTTTTCTATAAAATTTAACTCTGGGGCTTTATCACAAATGGACATTAAAATTCACTATCAATATAACTTCATGCGTCACTGACAGCTGGCAAAACAACACACTCCTTTGTCAGTATAGGGTAAAATATCCAATTATTGACATGCTAATGAAACACTTTAGAAACACGATGTCGCTAGTTAAAATTCAACAGTGGAATCAATCAAATTTCATCACGTAAATAAGATAAAACGGCATGTAATATTTTTACTAATATTCAATTAATTAAAGACGGTAATGATGTCAGAATATATATTTATTATATAATGTCAATAATAGGTATGTTTACCCTTAATATATAGCATTTAATAATGAAAACTCCCAATTCTAATGAGAAGCCAATTTAGCTTGGCGTCTCATTAGAATTGGATTGCACAATATAGCAAATATATTTCTACTGATGTGCGACAGAACATATAATTAATCATTGACATAAGATTGTGACACATAAAACATACAGTACGTCATAGACTAAAATATATGAATATAAAGATTTATTTAAAATAAAATCACCATCTACACTAATATTATTATAATAAGAGGAAAGATTTGATAATTTACATCGGATAGGCTCCGAAACTCCTGGACCCATTTTAAAAATTATTTCAACTACGGGAAGATACATCATATGCGGTGGTCATAGGTGATATTTTATCCCGAATAACAGCAAATAAAGGAACGAAAATTGGAGAAGTTTGTATAGGGAATTAAAACGTTACCATAGTAACTATTGTAATTATATCCGCGTGATTCGATATCCAAATAAACAGTTTCCTGGGCACAACTGGTAGTCTGGTTGAAACCGCTGGTGGAAAGCTTGTAATTAATATAAGTTCTATATAAAGGATTGTTATAATTCCATCGCACACCAGTCATAAGAACATTCTACTTTATTTATATTGGGATAAGGCTCATTTTGGCTTATCTGTCCGCATGACCCGGCTCCCCGGTAGGGGGAGTGCCGTGTCTGGACAAACTCTCGTTCTTCTGTTTCATATCTAAATGAAGGAGACAGCCCACTGCTCCAAAATATCTGCAAATTGATAAATGATTTATTTATCATCTGTTTATATAGTAGTTGAGGGGAACATATAGGCGGCGAGCTCAAGGTGCCATACGCTAGTTTGGAACACGCCTATTACACATCACACGTTTTATCAAACGTGCAAATTCAGCATTGAGAAGCACATTTTTTACTTTAATTCCTGATAACCTACATATGAGTGCTATAAATAATCAAATATGGAATAGACTAACTTAACTTTAGTCAACTATATTAATGAGTATGTTCTATGACCTATAAGCATAACTTGAACTTAGTTCATAGTTTAGTCCAGTGATAATATTAAAATCAATATATTACTTATAAATGAATACTTTTTTTTGCATAAAAGAATTTTTAAATCTCAACAGTAAAAAGAGTTATTGAAAACTTACCCTTCGTGCTCTAAGAATAAGGCTTTAAGTGCTCCCCGCGACCAATACGACATCGCGTAGGACAACAGTTTCATAGATAACGGATTGACGCGCAGAAAGTTGCCGCAAAACACAACCTAAGAACAAAATTAACATTAGGTTAGGATCGTCATTTATAGCCAACTCGATATATAATATATTAAAGTATGTGATTACTTATAAAATCAATGTTTATTCAGTATAGACCAGGGGTCAATGACCTACGGCGCTTTTGATGTAAAGTTGAGGTTACAATTCCATTTACAAAAAATAATTATATTTCTGTCGAGCGAAAACCTTAAATATATTGTGTTAATAAATCATAATAATATGGTATTATACTCTGTTTGAAGTAGTGCTTATGTTTATTTTAATTAAAATAAGTCATAAAAAATAAATTGGATAAATAAACTTTTTTCTTGCCTTAGAATTATTCCGATATGTACACAAAACAGACGCATCGAATACACTATTTAACAGACAAGAACAATGCCATCTAACGATTCTACTACAAAATAAAAAGAGTTTTTGTGTTTACAATGCCCTTATAATTCTTTATAATATATTTTTAAGATGAATTTTAAGACCAAAAAAAAGCTTTAAGAAAATTCAACTAAGCTGGAGAAATATAGGTATTCGTTCTGGAGTAGCTCGGTAACGTAGGATAAGCGCCGCAACATGCGATCGTTGTTGTTAAGCAACTTTTACAGTGGGTCGGTCACGGGATGGGTGACCAAAAAATTTTCTCGAGTTACTCCGTGCCTCTGAAGGCACGTTAACCCGTTGGTCCCGGCCGCATTTGCAGTCGTTAACACCCTCCAATCCGTATTAAGCCAGCGTGGAGGGTCATGGCCCATCCTCATTAACCAGCCATAAGGAAAGCCTGAGCACCTGCAGTGCAGACGTAAAAGCACTGATGATGTTTCAGAGTTGGAAGTCAAGTGCCAATAACACATACTGTAATCAACAGCAAGCACAAATTTTAATAACTTTTAGCAAAGGTTAAACATTTATTAATGAACAACGTACAAAAGCACAAGATACAAGAAGAAACATTGACAAAGTCCAAAAGTAAAAAAATATAAATTAAAAATATGTCGCACGTTGAGAATGACAATGTCACTAACCAAAAATGACGTATTTTTGACTTTTGACAACATTTTTCTTTGTTAAGTATAAACTTTAAAATGCAAAGATCCCTGTGAACGTAGCCTGCATAGAAACTGCTAGGTGGCGTAGTGACGATACGTTGTTTAGACGGACTGATTACAATTCCTTGAACTTTAACGCTTATTACTCAAAATCGCATTTTTTGCATTGTGTCACTATCGCTCTCAACGTGCTATGTATAAAAGCCTCCTTAGAGGTAAATATATCAAAAACATGGTAAGACTGTCGGCAACACATACCCTCTCTATATTCTCGTTGCTGGCGCACAGTCTCGCTATAGATCCGATGTTATTCGTGATGGTGACGAGGGTGGCGCGGGCTAGATCCTCGCGGGACACCTTCGCGCGTCTCTCCGCCGTCGACATCTGACCGAAACTAATCGACAACATCGCTATATAAGTACGCGACAGAAACAAATACAAAAAAAAAGTTAGGTCCCAAACTCGAGCCACTGTTTGCTTTAAAGTATGTTTTGACCATTTATATAATTAATATTGCTTGTCTTAATAACGTGACATGGAAAATGAAAGTAAACACAACGAAATTAAAGAAATTGTAACGAGACGGACTCAAGCACGAAGGGTTCCGTACCGGAAACGAAAAAAAAACGTCTTTTTTATGGTAGTCCCCCTTAATTTATATAATTATTTATTTTTAAAGTTATTATTTAATCCATATTGTGTAAATATATCAAGCGTCTACCTGTTGTCGTTATCAATATCGACAAAAAAAAAACATTTGTTGTATGGTAGCCCTTTAAATATTTTAGTATTTGTTGTTGAAACGGCAACAGAAATACAGTATCTGTGAAACTTTCAACTGTCTAGCTTTCACTGTTGTTAAGATACAGCATGGCCACTGACAGACAGACAGCGAAGTCTTAGTAATAGGGTTTCCGTTTTACCCATTGATTACGGAACCTTAAAAAAAGAGGAGTTCCTAAAAGAAATTCGTCTAAATTATCATCATGATTAAATCCTATTTTTAAAATTGCAGATCAATGCAATGATTTTAGGAAAATAGAAAGAGGTAAATGATACATCAATAGACAAAGGTGACATGTATAATATTGCTAACTTCCACCGAACGAGCCGAAAGTTGTCATAATCTATTTTCAGCTGTATATGCATGTGTTAAAATCTGTTTCACCTTGATGAGTAACCCATCCTCTCACCGCACAAAAAACTCAGCAAAATTGAAAATGAGTAATTGTAAGTCTTGTTAAATTTCCAATTTTACCTCTATACTTTAAGTACCTAGAAAAACCTTCTATAAATTTCTTATTATAAACGATTTAAACTTCAATTTTACTTTGAAAATTAGAACAATTTCAATGTCTTATTAATAACCATTTCCAGAATGGACTCCGAGCGTTTGGTTGTCATATTATATCCAATTTACAGCTCTAAGTCCGCGGGTTAACAACTATTTCACCATGACATTTAATAGCACTATGCCCACTAGTTGAAAAATTGTTTCTTTGTTCGTAAGGTATATTTTTGAACTTCGCATAAACATAACTGCACTCAAACCACCACTGATTTTCAGGCACAGTTACCTGCAAGATATGAGCTCATCGAGATCCAAAGGAGTGTAACTTCTACTGCGAAGACGTTTCAGATTCCTGCCTCGAAATTATTACGAGTTTTTATCTCAAAGATCACAAAGGGAATTTTCTAAAATGATACAATTGAAAACATGAAATCCAGACATTTTGTTTATCACCTTTTCACGCTTCAAGCATTGAACTACTATTGATGTATTTAAACATAATAATCTAAATATATCCACGGTAGAAAGGCGAATTGATGCAAGCAACATTATTTTTTTAAGATTAATTCATTTGCTAAAGGATATAAGGTTAATTTAGTTGTTTGTCGCAAAAAAGAATATTCAAGAAGCTTAAACAGTGAATAAAACTTAGGATAAGAAATATGAAAAATAATTAAAAATGTACTCATGGTTTGGAAATAATAGGTAGACCATATCACAAGTAGAAATTGATGACGTTTAAAACTAATTATAATTTTAGTTTAATCTTTAGTCTATAGTTTAGTAGCCCATTTTACCATTTAACCACTATCCGGCTCGAAGGACCATAGTATATAGTATATCTATGATATCTTTTGTATTATTATTTATTGTCAAATGAACATAGGGCAGTATGACAATTAGGTATAATTTTATAATACTACAGATTCCTTTCAATTGTTATTGATAATATAATATGTGTACTATCTTAATTATTATTAGGTTACCTGGACGGAACTGCTTCAAGTAATCGTAAGTCATAATGTAGTGTTAACAACAAAGTATTTTATATTATATTATATAGGAAATAATCATACCTGCTAGCAACCAAGTCAGCGGGCAATCCGAATCTGGCATAATCTCCGCCGTATATGTCTCTGACGAGTTTGTCGACGGTAGTATTGTCACCGGAGGCGGCCAATGATATCGCTTCTTCGAAACTACTGCAGCCAGTGAGGAGACAACACAGACCAAGGAATGTACCGCCGCCCAAACTGTTCAAAAATATATTACTAGTCATCATTAGCCCTGTTAGGTCCCCACTGCAGGGGCTCAGGCCTTCTTTATGGATGGTTATAGGGATGGGCCATAACCCTTCACGCTCACTGAATTCGAATTAGGGGGTATTATATACTACAAATGCAGCTGAGATCAACGGCTAAACGTACCTTCCGAAGCACGGATTAGCTCAAGACGATATTTTTTTGGTCACCCATCCCGTGATCGACCCTTACGTAACAACAACGTTTGAGGGCCGCGGTTCATAACAATTGGGAATATGGTAATATATTAAATCTATTTTATAGATAATATATATCGTTATATCCTTAAAAATAAATGACGAAATTCAGTAACAACCATATAAACCTCGCAAATTGCTAATACACCTGGTCATAATTTTGGTGACGTAATGTATTGAAAATTGTATACAACATTCATTACCGTTAGCAAAAAAAAAACTGGTTAATAAATACACGTATTGAATTGGGTTGTGTTTTAGATAGTTATTGTTTAATTTTGATGTTACTTGTAGATTATAATAGTCTTTTAGATACTTCAGCATTATCAAATAAATTAGCCATTTTTAAAACTGCTTTGCAAAAAAATAAGGGGAATTTATCTATTTATACAAAAATGTATATACGCGCATTACTTCCAAGCGACTGCACCAAATTGAATGATTCTTTTTTTTATGTGTTCCTTATTGTCAGGACAAGGTCTGAGTATAAGATTTTTTTTTTAAAGATATAACTTATTCTTGATGAAAAGTGCTTGAAAAAGCTACCTAGGGCCTAGCAGGACTGACAAATCTTTCAAGCACTTTTTACTTTTTCGGTACTACAGAGCGTATTATCATCAATGTGCAGGCAATCCACCCAAACAGTCCAAAGAAATATTTAATTTTTAAGCATTTTTCGTTAATAATATTTTTCAGTATAGCATTGTGAATGTGAAATTGATCAAATTAAATAAGAAATAATTTATCATCATCACCAGCCCTTTTACGTCTCCACTGCAGGGGCTCAGGGCTTCCTTATGGATGGTTAAGGAGGATGGGCCATGACCCTCCACGCTGGCCCAATACGGATTGAAGGGTATTAACGACTGCAAATGCAGCTGGGACCAACGGCTTAACGTGCCTTCCGAAGCACGGAGTAGCTCGAGATAATAATTTTATGGTCACCCATCCCGTGACCGACCTTTGCGAAAGTTGCTTAACGATTGCGATCGCGGGCCGCGGCGCTTATCCACTACGCCACCGAGCTACTAAATAATTTATAAATAAAGAGTATACGGCGGTGTAAAGTTCGCCGAGTGAGTTAATCATTGAAATTTCACTATTACTTTTCTGCTGTCTGTACTTTCTATTTTCAAATGACGTCACCTGGATGCATATGAATTATAATTGGTTACCTGGTGCCGCTGACCCTGTAGTAATCGGTGGGCGCGTTCACAACCAGCATGGACACGCCGCTGCCGATATTCACCAACAGAAACGGATACGGACGAGAGAAGTCGAACGGTTTACGGACGTACAGACTCAACGCCGCCTCCGAATACGGCGGCTGATAAAAAAACATAATTATTTTAAATCCTTTGTTGATTATTATTTTGAACATGCTGTTGAAAATATGCTACGGCGTTACAGTCGAAGAGATCGTGAAAAAACGTGCAGGAGCTTTCTTAAGCTTGGTATTTCAATATGTGAAAGTACTCAGGGTTATACATCACTGCGAGGTTACGTAGATAGTACGAAAAATCGCAACACATTAAAGGTGCTTTTTAATGGTGTAAAGTAGCAAAAATCATACGCTTGAGATTAAAAAAATACTGCTCAGATTGCAGAATAAATGACGATGTGCTCCGGACAAGAGTTTAATAACGGTTGGAAGTTAATTTATTATTAATAGTCACTTCATGGAAAATACTTAGACATTAATTTAACAGAACAACATTCAGCAAATGATAGAAGTTTGTTTCGCGCCACTGCCACCAAGTGTTGCAGCGCCGGAGCTCCAGACTGGGTAACTGACAGATACCCTTAGTACTTCAACATACTGAAAAATCAAGCTTTCGAAAGCTATTGTACATTTTGTCACGAGCTCTCAGTCTTATTAGTTCCGCCAGGGCTTGGAAACCGGTTAATTTTTTGAACCGGTTCGACGTAAGTACATGCACAACATTACATTAAAGGTTCAGCTCCTTTGAACAGGTTTTTAAAATAGTTCACTAGAAATACGGTTTTCTTCGTTAACCGGTTTAAATATGACTCCAGACAATGATCTCACAAACTTCAGCGCGGTTTTTAAGTGCCTTTACTCCTATCTATAACATCCGTACACAGGTATGATAAATGTCATCGCCTAAAAATGATATAATTCGCATTAAAAGCGTAAAAACATTGCTTTTTACGAACCAAGCGAATTAACCGGTTTTTAATCCATCCGTATTTCACTCTGCATTCAGTTCCGATCCGGAACGGGATATTATAAGAGAACAGGTTTTACCTAAATAAAAACGGTTTATTCTGAACCGGTTTCAAGCCCTGAGTTCCGCTACATCAACAGTCGTTAACACCCTGGATCATGAATTATGAACCATTCTCTCTATTCGATTCTACTCATAGATTTTGCGCTTATAACATTAATGTTTCAATCTATGAATTCGGTTTATTTTATTTTACTTACTAACATTTGATTAATTAAAACGGTACTGATATTGAAATACTACAAAAATCCATTAAATAACAACACAAACGCCATTTGTTAAAAAATGAAACGAATGAAACCGTTGCATTTCATTTAAATAAGCTACACTTCAAACTCTAGATAACTTGGTCCTTCGAGCGGGATCCGTTTAAATTAATCTTATGACTCACCGAGTCAGCTGGGTGTTGATGAACGGGCACTTCATCTGGTGGCGCCCAGTAGTAGCACTCCTGCGAGTTCATAGCGTCCACAAACAACACGCCCGCTATAAGAGCGTCCAATTCGTCCAACTTGGCCAGTCGCATGTTCACTTCCTGATAAATATAATTATCGCTTGAAATTGATTTGCATATTTAGTTTTATACTCATCTTTATTATTGTAGCAACCATTGACAGAAATTTAATAAATTAAAATAGATATAAGACGTTCATTACAAAAAATAAATATATTGATCGATATGCCCGCATGCGGAGTGAGAGACTTTTCTGGCTTATTTTCATTGGTCGGTAATTAGTTCTATCAATGATCATTTTATGATTAACCAATGAAATGAGCCACTGGAATCACCCGCAAGTAGTATCGACCAATCTCCCGCCGTAGATTTAAGTACCAATGGTATATGAGTACAGTTTCAAATTCCACCAGTGCTTGTAACAACCTAGAGCGAATAAATTATTTTGTTTTTATTTTATTTTAAATAAATCATGATGATAAAATTATATAAAAACAATTTACAAGTAAGTTAACCTTGATAAAGTCCTCTTCGAATTTGTAAGCGCCGCCCCCCGTCGCGTATATGGTGTTGACCAGATCGGCCATGCCCTTAGACCTGGCCAGTTGTAGGAACGCGCCTACTTCGGACGTGGGGAACCTGATGAAGTGCAACGTGCCACGTCTGCCTCTAATACGCACGTTCTCCATCTAAATAAATAACATCGGAAATTATATTTGATCAATCGTGCATTCACAATGCTATACTGAAAAATATTTTTAATGAAAAATGTTTAAAAAATCCGTCAACGCGAGGTACCCGAGGTTCACTTTATTCTAAAGGTTAAAAATCATCAATATCATCAGCTTTTTAACATCCCCACTGCAGGGGCTCAGGCCTCCCTTATGAATGGTTAAGGAGGAAAATTCGTGGGTTCTCCCTATCTCGGGGTACTTGGGTCTGGTGGATTTTTAAGCATTTTTATTAAAAATATTTAACATTAGAAAGTTAGATTCATAATGGCACTCTATGACATATTGGTAAGCGCGTCCGAGCAGCGATTATAGAAGCTAAACAATTTTCATCGAGGTCGGTAATGGAATGGGTGATCTGAAAGGTAGTGACTGCCATCCTGTCAGGTTACAAAGATTATTCTTAACGCATTTTCCAAGGCTGAAAAAATAGGTTGGTTTTTTAAATCACCCTGCAATCGATAACATGTATCTAACGGCACTGCGAACGACACGTATTATAATTTAGGGACCGTTTTCAGTAGATCTGTATTATATCGAAAGGCCTTGTTGAAAATTGCCATGGGGACATTTTGTTAGTTTACAAAAAAAAATATTAAATCCAGTTTTTAATGGCGTCGTTCTACCCGCAAGTCAACTAATCAACCTACGCAATCAGTATATAGCTGTATACACGTACACACACTTACATAAACTTGATATAAACAAAAAGCCACTAGTCTCCATCACGACATATAATAAAAGAGTCCATAAATTTAACACAATGATAAGAGGGATCGTAAAACTAAATTGATAATGTATTTTATTGTATCAATTAGCAACATGTTCAAATGTATTTGTTTAGCGAATCGCGATGTACGATATTAATTACGCTAGATTTTTCAGTAAGGAGTATCGCTATTTATTTTCTTAGGAGACTGCCTTCTGTCCATTCTATTCTAGTTGTGTTAGCATTTCGAAAATAGACGAAATTTCGTTTTCATTGGAAAAGAATACGCCTGCAGATTTCACGTTTATTTGTCTCGTCGTGTACTAATCACCTGTAACTGTACTCACCTGTAAATGAACATCTCTCCTACCGGTCTTGCCGTATGCTGAATTCCTGGTTAAGTATCTCCTTATGTTCTTCAACACTTCAGTCTCTTTGTCTAATTCGCGACGATTGGTCTCCCGCGGCTCGAAGTACACCAACTTGGTTAGGGTACCGCCAATATCCATACCGAACCACGGCATAGCTGCAAATATAGGAATTGTTTCATCTATATTTGTTTTTTTTTCATATTGATTGTGTGGTATATGTGGTACATATTATCGAATTACTGAGCTACAACAACTGACCAAGTATTTTTGAAGACTAAGAAAATAACAGATATAGAATTGAATAAAAAGGCAAAAATATTAAAACTATTAGGTATCTAAACCAACACAGGCGTTTGATATGATCTCAATACAAAAATTCTAAATAAAAAATGTCATAAAAAGATATCACGCTAAATGACTTAAGGTTACTTGACGATGAGGCAATAATGTATCTCTTTACATATGCAATACGTTTTTTTGGATTTTTTTCAGTTTGGAGTACCTCAAGGTAGTCACCATGGACCACAACTATTTTTAATATACTATTTGGACTATCAAAAAAGTAATCTTATATAAGACTTACTAAAAATATGAACTTACGTGGTGCATCATCATCAGGCGGCGTAGGAGGCGCCTGCTCCGCCACACCATCACAGTTCTCTTTATTCATTGGAGTAGGGTACGGCGTACGTCTCGCTCGTTTTATCAATTTAGTTCTGTGAACGAAATAAACCATATATTATGTATTTTAAGAGTATTACTCTCGGCATCACTTATACTATGACCGTAAAAATATATTATTGAACACTCGTATGTAAGTTACAGCCGTTCTGAAAGAATCAGATACCATGTGAAATCGTTTCCCTAGTCGAAATTTTACATTATTTACTATGGATTTGAAAACTTTACAAATCCTGTCAATGTAGCTTTATTCTAAATCGCTTACTCAAACCTACTGAGCTTAATAACACCATTTATGAAGTCATATCGCTACTGTACCATTTCATTGCCCTAGCTGATACTTGTGCTCCTCGTAATCGCTCCCGGAGTTTATATTATTTTGCGGTTTATCATATTTTTCTTTTATTTCATTTAGGGATTTTGAAGCATGCCCGTCCCATCATCGCCTATAATGTGTATGAAGAGATTTAATAAAGCTTTTTTTACTGTGAATAGGTATTATATAATAATAATTTTGACGCCCCTTTAACTGTCTAACACTGGAGCCCAGGGCAAGTGCTCCCACTTGACCTTCTCCACTCCTCCTTTTTAGTAGACTAGTCAACTTTATTGTCATGAGCATTGACTGCTTTGGAGTTAAGCAATAAACGACTGTACCTGGTGTGTCCAGGCAGCGGCGACGCGGTGCGGTCTCGCCCGCACGCCGCGAGGCACCCCTCACAACGATGCAAACGCATCTAGAAACAAAGTAATGTTCTGATAAACAACAATTGGTACAATGATTCAATTCGATATTGAACTCTGACACAACGCATAAACACAATAGACTATTAGTTCATAAACAACTCGATTTCAAGTAAATTACAGCAGTCGGACCGATATACATTAAATACCAAATGATAAGACACGAAGTACTTTTACCCATTCACTGAGTGACATGATGCCATCACTAATATCAAAATTATTTTGATCCCAGTAATTTATTTCGGGACGAATTTTAATTGGGATTTGCATTCTTTAATGGTATTGTATTAGTGGTAAAATCACCTTACAGCTTCTCCTTTTATATTGTATTAAATACTAATCATATATATATGTAGCTCGGTGTAATGGATATGCGCCGCGGCACGCGATCGTTGTCATTAAGCAACATTCGCAAGGGTCGGTCACGGGATGACCAAAAAATTATTATCTCGAGCTATTCCGTGCTTCGGAAGGTATGTTAAGCCGTTGGTCCCTGCTGCATTTGTAGTCGTTAATACCAGCCAATCCGCATTCGGCCAGCGTGGAGGGTCATGGCTCATGATCCTTAACCATTTATAAGGAAGGCCTGAGCCCCTGCAGTGGGGACGAAATAAAGGGCTGATGATGATGATGACTATTCATATAGGTCGTGGGCCAATGATTTAATTGGGCCGATGCCAAACTTTTAACCGAACCGATCATGATTTTCCTGGCCAAGAAATGGCGGCATATAGTAATATGCCCAGGTAGATCTCGATCAGCTCAATTCAACGACTGGCCCAGGACATATAGAAGGCAGCGGACATAAACGCTTTGTATAAGTCAGACAATTTCTAATTCATTCTATTAACGTAGGGGAAATCCGGTGACATGCTTCATAGTACATAAATACGCTCAAAATTCGAGCGTACGGATTCACTGTCAAAGCGTTGAATGCTTTATTATTTTTGCATTAAGCTTTTTTAATTTCACATTAAAGGCGCGTTGAGTTCTCCAAATCGGAATTCTTGATCAACAGATCATGGAAAACGAATATGTCATGCTTAGAAAAAAAAGCAGCATTCAATGACTCGACAGAGAACCGGCACGAGAGAGCATATCGAACTCGAGAACGTATTGTATCTTACGATAGCGTTCAATGAAAACAAGCGTTGAACGCGTGTCGTTCAGTTAACCATATAAGTCAACAAAAATAAGTTTCTATAAATTCGAGACGTATGAAGGCTGCGTGATTGCGAATTCGATGTTGATCATACTCGTGTTCTTTTACATCACAGATACAATTGACGAATGTTTTGGTGCCTTATGCCATCTTACCTTTATTTCTATACTAATATTACAAAGAGAAAATATTTGATTGATTGTTTGTTTGCATTGAATAAGATCCGAAACTAATGAATTTTAAAAATTCTTTCACCTAAGTTAAGCTACATTAAGCGCGAATGAAATGGGCTACCTATTATATTATTATCACAATAAATCTAGAATTAATAGCTTACTCTTGCTATAAAAGGATGACCTAGTTATTTAAAGACGTTATATCATATCACTAGTTGATAAGCGGGTTGACCAAACTAGTTCCAATAAATAAAAAAACGCACCTACTACCTAATCATAAAACTCACTGAACCCAATTCAGCACTGACTGAACCGACCAGTCATCACGCATCATAATAAGAGAGCCTTGATAATTACAGTTAATTTCAACTTTACTAATTTGTTTAAAAGCAATTCATAATTGGCAATTTTCATGGTACAGATATTATTTGATTTAAATTCGACGATTTTATCTGTGAGTAGCTCGGTGGCGATAAGCGCCGCGGCCCGCGAATGTTGTCGTTAAGCAACTTTCGCAAGAGTCGGTCACGGGATGGGTGACCAAAAAAATATTATCTCGAGCTACTCCGTGCTTCGGAAGGCACATTAAGCCGTTATTCTCGACTGCATTTGCAGTCGTTAATACCCTCCAATCCGCATTGGGCCAGCGTGGAGGGTTATGGCCCATCTTCCTTAACCATCCATAAGAGAGGTAAAAGGGTTGAAGATGATGATGATGATTTTATTCAATCTTTTATTAATAAAATCTTTTATTCTATCTATATCTTCACGCCGTACCCCTTGCGGGGCAGGCAGAGAGGACCGTACACCACATTGTACGGTCCTTACATACATATTTCGCCTCATCCACTTTCATTACTGTTTTCATGTATACTCGCCGTTTTATGCGGTGGCATCACCTTCTAAGAGCACGCGATTGATTTGATCGTGATAAGCGAGAAGAGGCATTCGTCGGTTAAAAAAAATATGACAATAAGAATGTTCTTGATATGTTATACTCGGCTTTATTAACTGAAACAGACAGATCTGACTAGCGTTCCGTATCGGCCATTATTTATTGTTAATTCATTTAAAAATTCAAAACAACGTTAATATTATAATATATCATTATCGTCAGTCCTTCTACGTCCCCACTGCCCCCTGCACTCAGGCCTACCTCATAAATTGTTAAAATGTAAACAACTGTTTATACGCTGTTATTAAGGATTAAATCACTGCTAAAATTATAAAGACCGAGTGCGTACCTTTTAAGCTACTACTACTATTACCTGTTAATTAATTTAAACATTCTTAAAAACATAGTATGGTGGAGTAAAGCCACTATGAAACTCGTATTGTAAACCAGAAATGGCATGACGCATGATGTCAACAGTGGAATTCATGAATTTAAAAATTTATTACTCAATAATTTGAGAAATATTCGTTTGGAACTAATGACAGTATGTTAATAAGTAAGGGAACTAAATAAGTTGAGCTCGATAGCGCAATGTCTTAGTAAAGCTATAAAAA